GTTTTCACCAGGGTTCACAGAAGTCTATTGAATATTGTAGGGCTTAGCTTGCCACTTCATTGCTGTTTTTCCCTCACTTCCCCTTATCAGTGACAAGCGTGGTCACCAATCAGAGCGTGTATTCCCATTGCGTCTTAGTCTTGGAACTCAGTAGTTCTTGAATAGAAATAATTATTGGCAGATGCAGGTTGCTGTGAATGATGTTTTGGCATGGTGTGGAGGCTTGTGTATTCCATCTAATCTTTGTACTCATTATTTGGAGCATTATTCTAGTTACATGCTGGTCAGTCTTGCCGTAAGCCAATTTAATGACTGTTACCCATATTACTGGAGTCCTGGTGTTGCACTGTAGATTAAGCACAGGACCGCAAAGTTGGTTTGATCCATAAGGTCAGTGGTTCAAACTTACCAGTCACTTCTTAGAAACCTTATACTGTGTCGCTATGGGTTAGAACTGACTTGACGGCACTTAACAATAGCAACCCACGTTAGTGGACTCCTGGTGTGTAGGATTAGCACTGGACTTGCAACTACAAGGTCAGTGTTCACACCCACCAGCTATAGCTCAGAAACCCTATACAGGGTCTCTGTGAGTCAGAACCAACTCAGTGACACTTGACAGCAGCAACATAACCCATATTACTGACTGGATGAGACCCATATTTGTGCCCATTCCAAAGAAAGGTGACCCAACAGAATGTGGCAATCATCAAACAATACTATTAGTATCTCATGTAGTTAAATTTTGTTGAAGATAATTTAAACATGGCTGCAACAGTATGTTGACAGGAAACTCAGAAAGTCAAGCCAGATTCAGAAGAAGATGTCAGATGGATCTTGGCCTAAAAGCAGAGAATACAAGAAAGATGTTTACTTGAGCTTTATTGACTGTGCAAAGGCTTTCAACTTTGTGGATCATAGCTAGCTATGGATAACATTGCAAAGAACTGGTATTCCAGAACACTGGATTGTACTCATGAGAAACCTGTACATAGACCAGTGGCAATTGTTTGTACAGATTCTGAATACTTCAAATCAGGAAAGCTGTGTGCCAAAGCTGTATTTTTTCACTATACTTATTCAGTCTATATGCAAATAATCCAAGAAACTAAATTATGGGAAGAAGAGCATGACATCAGGATTTGAGAAAGACTCATTTATAGCCTGTAATAAACAGATATTACAATCTAGCTTCCTGAAAGCGAAGAGGATGTAAAATACTCGTGAAAATCAAAGACCACAGTTTTCAATGTGGATTTCACTTCAATGTAAAGAAAACAAAAATCCTCACACCTGGACCCATATATAGCATCCTAATACGTGGAGAAAAGATTGAAGTTGTCAAAGACTTCATTTTGCTTGGATCTATAATCAACACTCATGGAAGCAACAGTCAAGACATCAAACAACATATTGCATTACACAAATGTGCTGCACAAGACCTCTTTTAATTGTTCAGGAGTAAAGATAACAGTTTGAAGACTGTTGTTTCCCTGACGTAAGTCATGGTAGTTTTAATAGCCCCACATGCATGTTAAAGTTAGACAATGAAGAGGAAGACTATAGAAGAATTGATGCATTTGAGTTGTGGTCTTAAAGAAGAATATTGAAGTACCATGGGCTGCCAGAAAAAAGAAACAAATTTGTGTAGTAAGACGTGTAGTTAGAATACTCCTTAGGAGTTAGAATGGTGAGATTTCATCTCTTATACTTTGGACATGTTATCAGGAGCTAACAGTCCCTGGAGAATGACATCATGCTTCGTAAAATGGAGGGTCAGCAAAAAAGAGGAAGGCCTTCAGCAAGATTGATTGGCATGGTGGCAACAGCAGTGGGCTCAAGCGTAACAATGATTATAAGGATGGCGCAGGACGGGGCAGTGTGTCATTATGTTGTGCATGGGGTTGCTATGAGTCAGAACATACTTGACAGCACCTAACAATGACAGTTCATATGGAAAGCATCATTAAAGGTCCTATTAATTGTAATGTACAAAAATGATCTGTTAAATTTTTATTAAACTTAAAAACTCAGAGATTATGCTTTGATTATTGAAGGTCTAGACCTTATTTGTAAAATATTTACAGCATGCGTAGAACTTTATCTCCTTCTGGAATCTTGCTCAAATTCATCTTTCTTTCTAATACTACTACTTGATTGTATCTTTCACACAACTTTGGTCACGTCTTTTAACCTGGCTTTAATTTCCTTATTTGTAAAGCAAGACTGAAGATGGTTGTTGTGTTAATTATATGTGACTTGAAGGTCTAAAAAAGTTTTTTTGATTTTGAGGGAGGGCACCATTGTGAATCTATTCATGTATTTAAAACAATATTTTTAGATAAGTTTTAGAGTTAAGTTACAAATTTAATGTTTTAAAAATTAGAATCAATTCTATCTCACCCCCTCGCCCCCCAACAGCTCCTAAAAGACGGCGGCCTGCACGTTCAATATTTGATGGCTTCCGGGATTTTCAAACTGAAACTAGTAGGTATCTATGGTCACTTTACTATTACCTTTATCATTCATCTCTTCTAGGTAATTCATGTGTAGTGCAGTCAGATTAAGTATGGTAATACCTTATTAAGGATGTACTTTTTATAATTAAAGGGAAAAAAATTCCTTTCTACACTTTAAAATGAATCTGAATGTGATTTCAAGCTTGTTAAGCCAGGGACTTCACTCTCAAACAAACAAAAAAAAGCCACGGGGAATGGCAGGAAGCCCCCATTGTTGTAGGGGAGAATAGACTCAAAATTCAAATGTATGTTGTGGAGATAAACAGGGTAAAGACAGAAGGAAGACAGAAACAAATTATCCAGATAAGGGAGAACATCAGCTTGAGGTCATGTTGTTCTAAAGTGCCATCAAGTCATTTCTGACTCACAGCATTTCAGTATAGTTTCTGAGGAACAGTTCAGCGGGTTTAAACCATTGATTTTATGGTTAGTCGTCCAGTGCTTATCTTACAGTGCCACACTGTTGTTGTTATGTGCCATAGAGTCGGTTCCGACTCATAGCAACCCTGTACAGGGTTTCCAAGGCTGTAAATCTTTATGGGAGCAGAAAGCCTCCTCTTTCTCCCGTGGAACACCTGGTAGTTTTGAACTGCTGACCTCGCGGTTCACAGCCCGATTCGTAACCACTACGCTACCAGAGCTCCTTTACAGTGCCACACTAGGACTCCACATAAGTTCATAATGATGTCCAAAGAATTCACATGCATGTAGCTGATATATCAGGCACAGAGAGAACAAAGGAATTTAGTCACAAAATCATTGTTGACTGCAGAGTAATTCCTCACAGTTACACACTAGACTACCAAAGTGTAAAAGGACTATTGTAGATTACAAAAGTTTATATGGTTGGTTATGAGGCCCTTCTACCACTCTGGTTGGGGTATGACTCATACCCATGGGACCCTGCTTCCCAAATTTCTCTTAAAGGGCATGCCCAAGCAAGTCCCTCAGGGCAAGTCTGCCCCTCCCTTTCTGGCTAGAGGACTCCCCTTAATCCACTTTCTAGTGCATTCTGTTTAGAGGTGAGGCTGCCTCTTCTTGCTTTCCTGATTTATCATGGTCACTCTGGCAGTCCAGCTGTCAGAATCTGTAAAGTACTCAAGATGGCGGCTGAACTTATGTCACAGCACAAGTTGAACTTGAGTTCTGACTGCAGGCCCCAGCCTTCCACAGGCCAAATGCCTGTAGATACCACGCTGTGCTATGCCACACTCCCCTATCAGGCAGTATCCTGTTTTGTTAAATATACTTCAAAAATATTAGATCTAATTACTTTGAGGATTCACTTTATTTAAAAACCTGCAAATATGAAGTTACTCTGTTTATGATTGCTGTTAATCATATAAATCTAATTAATCAAATTGATCATATTAAGCAAACAATTATGTTTGTTATTGATCATTATGACTGTTATTGGAATCCTAGTGTAGAGCTGTAGGATAAACACTAGACTGCAGTTCAAACATGCCAGCTGTTCCTTAGAAATTCTATGCAGGGTCGCTATGAGTCAGAATCGACTCAACAGCACTTAACAGCAACAGTGATTGTTATTAACTCCCTGTTGAGCTAATTTGTTTCAAATTCTACTTTACATGGTTATAGCAAAATAGTAAGGACAGTGGAGATGATATAAGAAGTCTGATGTAATAAAATAAAAAACTGATTCCCCCCCAGGATCCTCATACATAAAATACTATTGAAAACAACGACCACAATGAAAATGTTTATTATAGGAGATTGAAAAAATAGAAGAAAAAGGCACACCATCAACGCAGCTACATTTTTTTTTAAGCTTTTATTGTGAATTGAGGGTTAGTTTACATGACAGACATTGGTTTTGTCTGAAAGCAATCATATTTTGTTTAATTGCAATAATTACAATCCTCTCCATGCGCCATTGGTTAACAGTATTTACCTCTATTCCCTCTTGTTTTTATTTTTATTTTTTAAACACTCAGGCATATATAATAATTTATACCACCAAAGGGCCAATTCTGCAAATTTGCCTCCTGGCCGCCAGCTCTTAGTCCCTCTGTTCCCATCAATCTAGAGTCCTCAGCTGCTCCCTCTTTCCGTGTCCCCATCTCTGCCTCCATCTCTGGTGTCACAAAGCAGCTATTATTAACATTTTTGGCTAAATTTTATTGTAAGTTGTTTAGAATAGGTTTATAGCTTTCTTTGGAATACATTAAACTGAGAATCTTGGCTTTATACTTTTTGAGGACTCAGTATTGATTTAACAATGGAATTCTAAAGAAGAGTGAACATATTTATAGGATATATGAGAGACTCTAATTTTGTAGTTGCTATATAATGAGCTCACTGAGGCACAGATAGGTCTTACAACTTTGGGGAGAGTTGGAAGGGAACCCAAAGTGACTTAGGTTATCCAGGAAGTGCCATTGGCTATGAAACACCAAGTCTTAAGGTTTCCTTTCACCCACCCCACTCCAGTATTTTTTTTTTTTTTTTTTTTACAGTGTCAGCATTAGATATTGCAGTAATTACTTCTGTTGATAACCAAGGTTGATTTTTTTTGTTTTTTGAGATCTATGACTCAGCAGCGCTTAATGACAACAGTTTTAGAGTGTGGCAAATTGACCTTTTTTCATCATCCTATGTTGCAGTTCGGCAAGAGCAGGAATTAAGAAATGGAGGGGCAATAGATAAGAAACTAACTACCCTTGCAGATCTGTTCCGGCCACCCATTGACTTGATGCATAAAGGCAGCTTTGAAACAGTAAGTTATTGAAAATTCTAAGCCTAACTATAAATCCTTGTGAATTTGTAATATCTTTTTTCTTTTCCTTTTAATAACACAAAAAAAATCAGTTTATAGAAAATTGACATTGTAAGTAAAAATTGGTGGTGGTGGTGATATGCCATGGAGTTAGTTCCAACTCACAGTGACCCTGTTTAGGGTTTCAAAGGCTGTAAATCTTGCAGAAAGCCTTATCTTTATCCCATGGAACAGTTGGTAGTTTGGAACTGCTGACCTTGAGGTTAGCAGCTCAACTCGTAACCACTATGCTACTGTTGTGTTGTTGTTAAGTGCCATCGAGTCGATTCTGAACCATAGCGACCCTGTATAGGGTTTCCAAGGAGCAGCTGGTGAGCCTGAACCACTGAACTTGCAGTTTAAACGACTTTGCAGTCTGACGCATTAGCCCACACAAAATAAATATTACTAAGTGATGTATCTAAAATTGATTTCTACTAACAGTATATGAGATTGTTATATGAAACGCTTTTCTTTTGAGTTTTTGTCAGTTTGATAGTTTTGGTTTTTATTAAGTCTGTTGTTTTTTTAAATTTTGTCAAATATCTTTGATTACTACTGAAATTGTATTTTATATATGTGTGTTAGCCATTTGTGGATAGTTTGTATTTTTATTGGCTCCTTGTTGTTGTTGTTGTTAAGTGCCGTCGAGTCGGGTCCGACCCATAGCGACCCTGTACAGGGTTTCCGAGGGTGTAATTGGCTCCTAGTGTGTTTTAAAAAGGCATCCCAGTCATCCACCTTCCAAAAATAAAAATAATTTTAAAAGGAGCCCTGTAGCATGGTGGATTACAAGTTGGGCTGTTAACCAAAAGAGGTCAGCAGTTCGAATCTACCAGCCATTCGAAGGGAGAAAGATGGGTCTTTCTGCTCTCGTAAAGATTCACAGCTTTGGAAATCTCTTACAGGGTCACTATGAGTTGGAACTGAGTCCTGGTATGGTGCTATAGGATAAGCACTGGATTACTAACTGCAAGGTCAGCATTTCAAACCCATCAACTGCTCCTTGGAAAACCCTTTACAGGGTCACTTTGAGTCGGAACTGACTTGATGGTACTTAACAACAGTGTTTTAAAAGAATTATCTTCACGTGCAGAACACATTCTCTTCCATAGTTCTTTTTGGTTATATCTGAGCTAGGCCAGAGAAAAAATTTCCAGAGCAGGTTTATTTGATGTTCTGCTAGATTATAAGCTTAATGAGGGCAAGCGGAACATTTCTTTTCATATTGATAATCTTTGGGACCCAGTCTCTGGTACTTAATAAACCCAAAACAAACAAACAAACACTACCATTGAGTCAATTACAACTCATAGTGACCCCAAAAGGCAGACTAAAACTGCTCCTTGAAGATTTCTGAGACTGTAAATCTTTATAGAAGCAGACAGCATACCATCTTTCTCCAGAGGAACAGCTGGTGTGTGTGAACCACTGCCCTTCTGATTAGCAGTCCAACCATTAACCTAATGTTTGTAGGGATGCAGTGTTTGTTAAATCACTTGAGTTTATTAAGGATTTTAAATATTTTCTGTTGAGATGTTTAAACAGTATGTTTTGGGGTATTAACTAGTATGCTAATTTTTTTTGAATCAGCATTTCCACAAATATAAATCACTTAAATTTCATGTAAGGTAAACTTGACCAAAGAATAACTAAAAATGTGTGTGTGTGTGTGT